GTTCAAACTGGAATAGGGGAAGTTCAGGTTAGATCTAAGGCAGAAGCTCTTCCCTGTGAGGGTGCTGAGGTGCTGGCACAGGGTGCCCAGAGAAGCTGTGGCTGCCCCATCCCTGGCAGTGTTGGACACAGGGCCTTAGAGCAACCTGCTCTAGTGTGAGGTGTCCCTGCCCAGGGGATCTGGATGATCTTAAGGTCCTTTCCAACCCAACCATTCTGAGTCTATGATTGTATAATTCCATTGCTTTTCTCTTGGTCAGCTATTTCCTGTATGGATATGTCTTACATTCCTCTTGTTGGTAACATCAAATTTCATATATTTAGCTTATGTGAAACAAGAAGTACTTTCCACATTAGCCGCAACAATAACTAATACTACTAGTAAGCTTCTTGTCTTTAATGTAAAAACTGAAAGGAAAGGATGAAATAAATGTTTCAGGAAAGCCTAAGTATTTACATTTGGGTTTGTAGTTGGTTGTTGGTCTGGACCAACAGTTGTGAAACAGAGATTGACTCCTTCAAAATGGATACTTATTAGTCAATGATTTCACTAGTGCAGAGAAACAGGGGCTTAGAATCAGCATCTTGTGATGAATTTTAACATACTTTCCCTTTATTTCCAGGAAATAATAGGTGAAAGCAACTTTTTACTGGATGCAAAATCTCTGCACGTAGCTGCATCATTGTATTACTATATTAGGACATTTTTGAACATGAAAGAAGGTTATTATAGAGAAGAATCCCACATCTAAAAGGCTTTATATAGTTTCAAGGTTAATGATGTATTTTTGGCCACAGAACGCTTTCGAGGGGTTTTTTTTTTATTACTGTTTTTCAAGGAATACATAAATTGTGTGCAAAGAGAAACTCCTTTTGGATGAAATCTTAACTACAGTGTGTTTTCGAAAGTAGTTACTAGCAGCAAGTAAGTTACTCCCTGTTTGCCAGGAGTTAGGCTGAACTTTGAGATCAGATTTTCTTCATTGAATCTTCATAGCTTGAACTATTGAATGCCACAGACTTGGAGTATGCCTTGTGTACATTCCACTTCATTTTATTGCTTATTTGGATAGGTTTCTGTGTTTAATAAAATAGGAGTTTCTAACAAAGAATGCCAGGGACCAAAGCAGTGTAGATAATGGCCATTTGTAGGCTTTGTCAGCTCCTAAGCAGTCTACTTACAAACTTTGGTTTATGCTAAATTGAAGGAACTCTGTGCAACAGGGATGTGGCTCAGGTATCAGTTATGCTTAGACTGGAATATCCTATTTAGGTAGGAGAATAATGCTTTGAACATCATTAGTACAGAGGAGATTTTGTTAGAAATAGCTGATGTCCCATGGAACCTGGATTTTTCTTCTCTTTGGTGCAGAGCCAGAGAGGGTTTACCTCAGTGCAGTGGCTGTTACAGAACAGGTTTGGTTTCGTTTTGGGTTTCTTTGGCAGTCTGAACTGACTATAACCATCCCTGGAGGTATTTAAAAGATATGCAGGTATGGTGCTTGGGGACATGGTTTAGTGCTGGACTTGGCAGTGTTAGGTTTATGGTTGGACTCAAGGATCTTAAAGGTCTTTTCTGACCTAAATGATTCTGTGATTCCAGGTTAGATTTCTGATTTTTACTATTTTAATTTTTAACTCTAAGGCTGTAATTTAACAAATGAACTAATACTAACACTGTGTTTGGGCCATGCTGTTCTCACAGTGATGGTTATTTATTCCTCTAATATGGATATTGTAAGCATTACGTTCTTTAGTCCTCCTTTATATTTGTTAAAAGTGTTAGCAGCAAGAGGTTTGAAATGGATCAGGCTTTTTGGGTCTGGTGGAAGCCAAGCTTACCTGATGAAATAGCTCCTTGCCAATAAGCTTACAGTTTAGGAACAGTTCCTCAGTAGTAGTTAGTAGTTCTTACCAAATCAACTGGGTTGGGAAAGACCTTTAAGATGATCAAGTCCAACCTTTACCCTGGGAGTGAGGTTTCCCCCTTCAGCATCCCCTCGATGCAATGAAAGTTCAAGAGCTGTGTGAAATGCAAATGAGAAAACCAGTTATTCAGGTAATGCAGTAATTATGAAAGGAACATTTCTTTGCAAATACATACACTGGAGTGATTCTGTCTGGCTAGGGATGCTTTTATTAGTAACACTGCGATTACCTAAAGCCTAATCCAAATACAAGCTGTAGTTGAACAAAACCCCACTCAAATTCTTGAACGTTATGCTGTGGAAAAGTTAATCTGTCAAAATGATATGTTGAAAACCACACAAAAGATAATAGAGCTCCATAAGAACCCATCTCATGGTACATACTTTTCTGGTGACGTACTAAAACCAGAGGTTTCTTACCAGGCTCAGAAAACCTTTCAGTTTGAAGCCTTGATTTTCACTTTCTCATTTCTCATTGTTAACGTTTCATACTTAGTTTTTGAAACCTGTATGAATTCAGATTATTTAGAAAGCTGAAGTATGACAGGCGCTGGAAATCTAGTTCCAGTATCACTGTCATTCTTTTGTTCTTTGCAAGTTTGTTTGTAATGTGTTGCCTGCAATTCATTGTTAAGCCTGACAAACTTTGCAATATATTCTTCGAGTTTTTTGGCAGAGATTTAAATTGAGAACTAGGGAAGACTGTTGTGTGATGAGCCTCAGGTGAAAAAGAAAAGGGTGTTTTCTGTCTTTGAGGATTAAGTGCTCTACTGTGTAATTTTGCTACCTGGAAGCCCAGTCTCACCATGTTTACCAAAGGGATAGAGGTTAGAGCCTTGGGTAGACTAACAGTGGACTTCAGATCCTACTTCACACTGTGGTTTTTGACATTTCCTTCTGTGTTCCATCACTATTTGTCCTTCTGTGCAGCAAACCAACATAAAATACATATTATTGCCTGGATTTGACCCTTCTAGCATGGGCAGTTGGAGGTAACTGCTAGCTGGATTTTGACCCTTTCCAACGTAGTTAGGTTTGGGTTGTTTTGGCTGCTATTGGAAGTTGGAAAAGACTTAGAAAGTGTTCTGCAGTGCCAGGACTTTTTAAAAACCTCAGTTCTGGAGTATCTTTTTTTTTGGGGGGGGAAATAGGAAGTGAAGGGATGACCTGCCTCTAAGGCATACTATTTTTAACTAAGAGAATAGCTTGAATTTTACATTTAGCTAAATCTAAAGATAGATAGCTGAAGTGGAAGGTGGAAACATTCAAATTAGAGGTTTAGCTGTTAGAAGAAGCTAGAAGGGAGTGGTGGAAACAGTTCCTGATGTATAGATGTGTCCTTTTCCCATTAATTCCTTTAATGGAACTATGGAGAATGACCTTATTCTTGAAAACGTAAGACATAGGTTCACAGGTTTAGTCGGAGACCCCGAGTTTGCCAGTTTTCCTAATAGCATTAAACAGGTGCTTAAATACCATACCTGGTTTGGCTTTTCAGATCCACATCTGGAGCGTGGATGTTCTTGACTTGTGAAAATAAGAGTCCATTTTGTTGTGTGCTTTTAATCTAGAGTAAGCTGGCTTGGCTTAGGCAAACAGAGTTAAGAGCTTGAATTCTTCTTTGTGTGCTCAAGTCAGTCAGAAATGAAAGCAGTATTTTTACACAGGGAACAAGATTAGGTAGAAATGACTTTCCTGGCACCAGTTCAGAATGACATTCTGTAGTTACAGCTGAGTGAGAACTGAAGACTTCTTCATTCACTTCTCTCTGCAAATTGCAGCCATCAACTTTCTTACAAGGATTTAACACCCGTAAATGCTTCCTATTGATTTCTCTCACACTCCCCTTCCCCCCTTTATTGTTTCTGCTTTTTTAGTGAGTAAATCAAAGTAGCCCTGTACTATTTATTTATTTATTTATTTATTTTCTAATCTTCTTTGGTAGAAGCTCTCAATCCAAGAATTTGAACCCTAACAGTGATAGATCTTTTTCTCCTAGTCACAGTTGGTGTGGGTTGTTTTGGAAATACATGGGGCTATTCGAGTGCTCTTCTAGCCTGTAATCTGAGGTTGAGTAGCTCATGCATGTTTTATAGCCAGAAGTAGAAAAAGGGAAGTCTTAACACTTGCTTCTCTCATATGTAATTGCGTTCCAATTTCCAGCATTAATTAATTCATTAATATCCATATATCTTAGGACACTGTTGTTCTTTAGCTCTTGGCTCTAATTGTTACTCCACTGACGTATTTGTAGGCAGCGGTTGTATTACTGGCCGCCTTTCCAAAGCAAGCCTTCTTCCATCCAGCTGGCTAGGAACTCCAGCTGGAATTTTGTCCAAGAATTCTGGACAGCATTCCTAATAATACCTTTCAGGTGCTTTGTACAATGATGTTAATGCTTTCCTGCTTCTTCTAGGAAAATCTGGTCTGGCTCTTCCCACATCCCCTTCCCCTGTGTTGGCTGCATCATGTTTCTTAGTTGTTTTTTTTTCTGTCAGGGAGCTTGTAGTTCATAAGGGATAGTTTTGCTCTTAGTCCTTGAATTGTGAGGCTCAGGATTTCATCAGATGTTTGTAATATCAGTCCTCCGGGTCATCCCCTTTCTCCAGTGTGATCCTTCTCAGCATTAATAACGCTTCCTGTCTTGCTTTGATACTTCTCTGCTTTCTGTGTCTGGTTCCTTAGTGCAAACAATCCTTAAAGCTTCCCTTTCGAAGCTCTTCTAGTAACTATTCACCACCATTTTTCTCCTGAAAAACAGAATTCTGGGTAAGCTTTAATTGTTTGGGGTTTTTTTTAATAGAATTTAGAGTTCTTATGCAAGCCCTTCTGAGTCATCATTAATGCTCTTGCATGGTATTACATGAGATACTTCACCGAGAGCTGAAAAGGATTTGGGTTAGCCTTGAACACACCTTTTCTGAAGCTATAACATCTGTCTCTTCAGAATTTGTTCTGAACCCTTGCCTTTTATTTAGACCCAACTAAGAGGTGGCTTACCCCAAAATGATATTTATAATGAAAACCATTTTATCAGTCAACTTTTCAAATCTAGTCTGACTCTGTCTTTCAGCAAATGGTAATGACACCAAGAAATTCAAAGGGGACGTTAAAATGGATGGGGCTCCTTCTCGTGTTCTTCATATCAGGAAACTGCCTGGGGAAGTGACAGAAACAGAAGTTATTGCTTTAGGTTTACCTTTTGGTAAGGTGACCAACATCCTGATGCTGAAAGGGAAAAATCAGGTAACTTGTTGCTTTCCATTTTTCAGTATGCTTTCTGTGTAATGTCAAAATAGGCTGTTAAAATGGTCTTGAATAAGTCATATAACAGTAAGTATTAAAACCAAAAAGCCTTAGTTTTTTCTTTTATGAACTTAGAGTGTCTTCTAGTAAATTATGGGGGGGAACAGGGTATGTTGGAGCTGCATATAACAAAAAGTTAACTGTAAGATAAAGAGTCCTGCATCTTCAGAGGTGAGTTTTTGGGCCGGTAGACTTGGTATACAGCGAATGACATCTGCAGACTGGTATTTGTTACTACGTGTTGTCATATGCTTTAAGTGTTTTATATATGCTGCTAATATGACTATTATCTGCCTTGTAAATACTGAAAATTAACTGTTTAATCACAGGCATTTTTGGAACTTGCCACAGAAGAAGCAGCTATCACTATGGTGAATTACTACTCTGCTGTGATGCCTCATCTTCGGAACCAACTTATCTATATCCAGTATTCCAATCATAAAGAACTGAAGACTGATAACACACTTAACCAGGTATATTTACTGTTCTGGAGTATTACAGATGCAGGCAGAAAATGAGGCTTAGCATGTATTCTTGGCTTATGTGGTATATGTTTAAAGCAGTTTTGTCTACATTCTAATGCTACTGTAGTCTTCCGTATGATCATTCTGCTTTGTGACATTGAAGGAGATTGGCTTTCTGTGTGAATTTTCCATTATGATGAAACCTGGGGAGGGAATTCTGACAAGGGCCTGTAGGGACAGGCCAAGGGGAATGGCTTTAACCTGCCAGAGGGGAGATTGAGATGAGCTCTTAGGCAGAAGCTCTTCCCTGGGAGGGTGCTGAGGCGCTGGCACAGGGTGCCCAGAGAAGCTGTGGCTGCCCCATCCCTGGCAGTGTTCAAGGGCAGGTTGGACACAGGGGCTTGGAGCAACCTGCTCTAGTGGAAGGTGTCCCTGCCCATGGCAGGGGGTTGGAACTGGGTGAGCTTTAAGGTCCTTTCCAACCCAAACCAGTCTGTGATTCTGTGATAGCTGTTGCCTTTAGAAACAATAGTAATCTGTTGAAGGACATCTTGGTTCAGATCAAGTATAGTACTGATTTTCCTGTTGATGCTTCTAAACATTTCAGTTCCTTAGAATCTTGCGATAGTTTGGCTGCTAAAGGTACTTCTTAAAAACTGAGATCTTTTTTTTTTTTATCCCCCAAAATGTCAGTGATTAAAACAAATACCTTCATTTACTTAGAAAAAAGAGAATAGAGGATGAGTTCTGTCTGCACATCTAGTGGGTGGACATAGTCCTTTAAGAAGCTTTCCCTTGCGTTGTCCTCGGCTTCTCTGCTAAAACTCTTTATGTACTCTATGTGTCCACCTTCTCAGTGTAGAGAATGTGCTCAGTTTTCAACAGCTGTTATGCCACCATACACATTAATACCCAATTTGAACATATTCCCAGGTCTCTATTCCTTCAATTTCAAACTAAATAATAGCAATAGGTACCTGACAGTAAGTATTCTGTTACTGGTATCTCCAAGGCATTCTATACAACGCAAGGTGGTTGGCTATTTTTTTTTCTGTAAGGAAAAATAAAGGTGGTGCAGATGTAGCTTGTAGTCTTCTTTTGGTTTAGATTTGAAATTGTCTTTGTTTCTGCATGTTCAAGCAGGAAGATCTAAAGAAGTCGGTATTTAGTCCATGGAACTGGAAAGATAAGATAAAACATATGAAGAGGAGAGCAAGTGTCTCAGTTATAAAGAAGATAAAAAAACCCTTTAAACATAATGAAAGTAGTCAAAGTTCCATTAAGCTGTTTTATTCTGAATTCCTCAACAATAGCAGCCTCCAGGACTGTACTTGGAATGAATTGGCTCTGAAGAAAACTTAAACAGTCCATTTTGAATCTGTTTTCTCTCACCTCTATAATTCCATGTAACCCCTTTTCCTGTGAGACATCAAAACACAGAGGAGCATTTAAACTCCTTTAAACCAACCATTTTTTACCTTGTTTTGTCTGGTATCTAGACTGAGGAATTGAGATGACAGTGACCTCTGTAATTCTCTGTAATCATTATGGGTTTAGTCTTTCTGCACAGACATTGCAACGTTTGGAAAGAAAGAAATACTACATTTGGGAAGAAATAAATATCAGATAGATTTTATCCTTACTTGGTAATGTTAAGTCCTGTATTCGTCCATGTATTCACATTAACTTTAGTGGAATGAAATAGAATGTATAAACATAGATGGGTAGTGCTGGCAAGGGTCAGATGTTAATACTGGCTTCACCGATGTTGGTTCTTTTGAGTATACAGTCTAGCCCTTTCCAGTCACTTGAAGGAGTGAGTTTTAATTCCCATGTACTTCTCTTGTGCTTACAGAAGGAGTAAGAAATAATTATGCAACTTGGCCCAATATCTGGCCAGCTTGGAAGTTATATATTTCATACATTAGGGAGAAAAGAACATGTTTGTTATCAGAAGCTGTCTTTACGGTTGCAGTACTGTTAAATGTAGAAGTAAATCTTGTTTTCCCAACTAGTGTTCACCAGGTCTTTATGTTTTTTGTTTTGTTCCCCCCTCACCCTTTCCTTACTGATTGATTCCTTTCAGTATGAGGATTATCATGTAAGTTGTAAGCTATGAAATCATGTAGTAGCTCTAATGCCTTTAAAATACGCGGTATGCATTCATATGGTGGGTCTTACTTTTAAGTGGCATGCTCACCTGTCTCTCTGTTCGGTATCGTTCTGCTTCATAAGGCTCCTGCAATGAAAGTATTAAATGGAACCCCTTTTTCCTGCACTTTTTCTTTCTCAGGAAAAGACATCTAATCTTTCTGATGCTGTCAGTTTGGGCAGTGGAAGTAGTGACATAGCTGTGTGGTTTTGTGCTGTCATCATGTGGTTTCCGTTGGATTTCTAAACCCCTGCTTGTGTTTAAACACCCCAAAATCCCCACCCATGAAGAGGATTTTGTTTTTCTGAAAGAGGGTGGATAACAAACACCAGTTTGTTTTAACTCTCTGGGGATACTACTTCCTGACATTTGTCAGCCTTGTGTATGATTCCACTGTGTTAGAGCTGAGAAGTTCGGAAGCGTTACCTTAGCATTAGCCCTTCCTATCAGCGTTCTGAAATGGCAGGGAAATGTGAACTGTAATGGAATGTCCTGGAAAACAGGTTCTATACTTCTGGTTTCTATAGGCTTGTGGGTTTTTTGTTGGGTTTTGGTTTTCTTGAAAGGAAAATAAAGAATCTTGAAACCTTCAAAATCCTCGCTTACTTCATCCTTACGAGTAGAAGTAGGACTGATTGATACTGGTGCCATTTGAAGCCCCTCTTTACTGTGACATAAGGGTTAATTGCTGTTTTCATGTGTCTCTTCTCACAGAGTCAGACTGCATTGCACTTTAGTTGTGTTCTGTCTGTAGCTCCGAGTTTTAAATCAGTGGCCAGTTTTCTGTTTCTTACGAAGTTAACTATACGAATATTGCTAATTAATTTCTAGCTCTCCTCTTGAATTATTAACCAAGCTGTCTTCTTGTCTTGTCTTTTTTGTTTTGAAGCGGGCCCAAGCTGTTCTTCAGGCAGTGACAGCTGTGCAGGCAACAAATGCTCCCATTAGCGGGACCACTGTGAGTGAGAGTGCAGTGACTCCAGCTCAGAGTCCAGTACTTAGAATAATCATTGACAATATGTACTATCCAGTAACCCTGGATGTTCTTCATCAGGTAAGCCCAATTTCTTTTGAACTTGAGCTCTCATTTGGGAGGAACTTGTGTGTAAAACTTGACCGTGTTTCTTTGGCAGATATTCTCTAAATTTGGTGCTGTATTGAAGATAATCACATTCACAAAGAATAACCAGTTTCAAGCTTTGCTGCAGTATGGTGATCCAGTAAATGCACAGCAAGCAAAACTAGTAAGTAGAGTTTTCTTTTTAAGGCTGGAGACCTAAATGCTTGTAAAATGCTAATATAACATTAGGATAACCTGATGACCTTAGTAGTTGTGTGAATTCTTTGAGATGAAAAAATAGTTGGGAGGTATGATACTAATATTGCATAAAATCAGTGTTTGAAGATACTCTGTTTAAGGGTTCTATGTCTGAAGACTTGTATACATCTATAATTATGACCAAATATTTTAATAAGACTTCACATATGCAAGAGTGCCTTGGTGCAGATGTCAGCAAGCAGTAGAAATGTAGGCTGTGATGTTGGTGCAGAATTAATTCACTCTAAGCAGGAAATTCTGTAAGATAGAATCGTAGAATGGTTTGTGTTGGAAAGGACCTTAAGATCATTCAGCTCCAACCCCTGCCACGGGCAGGGACACCTCACACTAGAGCAGGTTGCTCCAAGCCCCTGTGTCCAACCTGGCCTTGAACACTGCCAGGGATGGGGCAGCCACAGCTTCTGTGGGCACCCTGTGCCAGCACCTCAGCACCCTCCCAGGGAAGAGCTTCTGCCTTAGATCTAACCTGAACTTCCCCTGTTTCAGTTTGAACCTGTCACCCCTTGTCCTGTCACTACAGTCTCTAATGAAGAGCAAATTATTGTCGGTTGATCCTTTCTACCCATCAAAACAAAGATGTGATTTGTGGGTTGGATATAGATTTGTATAAGTATTTAATTATAGTATCCTAAACAAAATTACTTGGACTTCATTATAACCATAAATGCCCACAAGAGAGAGTGCAGTCTTACTCATGGGATCAGCCTATGAAGCAGTTTTGGATGAGAGACAGGTGAGAGCAGGATCTTACTTGTGTTTTCATGGAGGTGTCCCTGCCCATGGCAGGGAGTTGGAACTGGATGATCTTAAGGTCCTTTCCAACCCAAACCATTGCATGATTCTACGAAGCTCTCCTATCCTGGGTAGGAAAGGCAAGAACAGGTAACTGGTTTTATTCATTATAGCAGGAGAGAGCCTATGGATAAATTAGGACAGATCAACAGCACATAATCTACACCAGTTGTTTGGGATTAGTTGAAGGGGGTAATTGAATGAATCTGTGGCAACAGAAAAGGTGAACGAAAGGGAGAGGCTGGATTTTTTTTGTTATATTGATTTTTCAAGCTAAAATGGAATCAGTTTCTGTTTTCCAACCTTCCCATAGAGGCTGGATTTGTGGGAGGCTGATTCAAGTTGATGTGCTGGTTCGGTGTTGCTTGGCAGCACAGAAAGTGCTTACTGCCCGTAGATGACAGAATAGCTGAGAACTTGGAGCAAAAGTGAAAAGCTTGCACCTCAGACTAAGTTGGCAATGAGTATCTCTTAGTAGAGGAAAAAAAACTGCCTTAGTTTTCTGTTCTTGTAAGGAGTGATGACCGTATTGAAACCAAGACCTTCATGGTGGAGGATGGTCATTTCTGTCCTCATCGCCAAATGGAATACTGGTTATTGATTAAAAAAATGCTTTAAAAAGGTGGTCAAGGCAGGAATCACAAAAGCTAAAGAGGTTTTCAAAAAGCAGAGAGGAAGCTTTCATGCTGTTGAGAAGAGTAAAGTCAGCCAGAATAAAGTCACAGGAATAAAGATGATTTGCAACTTGATTTACAGTGATGTAATTTAAGATAATCTACCCCTGCAAAGCAGTCTGGGAATACTTGTATATTTAGAGTATAACTTAAATTAGGGATATTCTTTTCAGAGATGAATAGTGTCAAAATATGAGATGGTGGTCGAGTAGAGGGAGATGCAAGGATGTCACTGTAATGGGTAGAAGTTTTGCTTGGATTGGATACACCTTTCATATTTTAAGTAGGTTTAAAATAGTGCAGGAAAGATCTTTAACCTACAATGGCTGCAGAAAGCAACTGAAGTCATTTAGGCTCCTATTTGAAACACTTCATAAACAGTTGGGTGCTCCTGTGTTTGTTGCAGAGTGTTGTAATTCAGGCCTGATTTGTGCTTGGGAAGTTATTTTGTCAGTGACATGTTAATGCTGCTTTTAAAGTGCCTTTCTAAAGCACAATAGGACATCGAGCGATCACATTTCTTTACCTTTTTTGAGTCTTAAGTATATCAGGAGATTTAATGGAAAGATGACATCTGTGCAATGGCCTGTAGTGATCTGAAAATCAATCAGTGTAATTCTAGGAATACATTATAAGGAAGTAACAGAATAACAAAGGATGAGGTATGAGAACGTATGGAAGGAACCCAAGGATCTCTTACTGTTGTTGACTTCTGACAAAGTGGTACTAGGTCATGGGTTACTGTATGTATTTATTACTCCAGTTCTTCATGTTTTGATTAGGGTAGCTGTTTACTAGTGGTAACTCATGGGTGAATGATTAACTCATTGAGTAGGTGACTCCTGCACGTACAGTCATTGTCAGAGTGATCTTGGAGCCCATCTTGGTGACAAATTGAAATAGTCTTCAGTTTATAGTTTCATATTCTAGCCAATCTATACATAAATAGGCAAAATACTGAGAGTAATACCCACTGCAAGTATTGAAGAGTGCCAAACTAGAAGGAAGGTTTAATTTTCCCCCTCTCCTCCCAAGCTAATAGAATAAAGTAGGTACAGTTCTTAGGGTTGAGCTACTGTGCTCAAACACAAAGTGCCACCAGAAGAAAAGTACTTACAGTCAGATGATAGGAAACCCCCCTCTGGTTTAAATATATCTGGAAATAGAGTAGAAACAAGAGGTTGTGGTGGCTACATTTCAGTTGCAGGTGTTCAAAATGAAAAGCATGCTAAAAGAGGAAAGAAGTTTTCAATTTCTTTTCCATCAGTTCTTACTATAGAAGATAATGGGGAAATCAGAATGTGGCCTTAATAGAAATTGAAGACTTATTAAGGAAGTTAAAGAGCAATTTGGAAAACTGAAGGGCTGGAAGTACCAAGGAGAGATGCTATTCATTTGAAGGTTCTGAGAAACCAGTGATACTGACAGGAATGTACAATACCAAGCCTCTGTGGGACCACTTTTACTATTTGAATGAGGAAGTAGTGAAGAATAGCACTGCTGCCTCACTAGCTTTATGAGAAGCTCATTTGCTTTTGAGGTAGGTGATGGCTGCACTAATTTGTGTTTCATCAGCACCCTCAGATCAGAGTGGTACAGTGAAGGTGACAAAGCTCAGGTTCTGTGCAATGCAGCAGCCCAGCCATGGGTTGGAGAAGGTGCTGAGTATGTGCAGTAGCAGAGCACATTGACCTACTGTGCTAATTGAAGCAGAAGGTGATGTCCTCTAGATGTCTGCATGCATGAAGAGATACTCAGATATAGCTCATTTCCATAGTAAATGATCAATACCTTCAGCATAACCAGCAAACTTAAATATTTTTAAGTTTGAATAGCAGTAATCTGGAATTCTATAGAAAGATACTGACAGTTACTAATGCCTCACGTCAGGAGAAGTAACTGAGACATGTATGTAGTGCATGCCAGTCATCTTGGCCCAACAGAGGTCAGAATGGAGAGTGTCTGTTCTAGTTGGCCTGTAGGTGATTCAGAGTACCTCTCCAGAGATTCTGCTGAGGTTTGACTCTACATCCAAGTTGTCTTCCTCCCTGTTGATGTGAGTGACAGCTTCAGGGTTGCTCTGCACCGGTAGCAGTCTACAAAAGATGTCTGCTAGACTACATTGCCCTAACATCTGTAATAGGAGCTTCAAGGAGTCATTGCCAGAGTGGAAAGCAAGGACACCTCCAGATAAGATACTCAGCTTCAGGGCAGTTATCCATGCTTATTGCATTCAGGCTTTTCAGACATCTTGAATCCTTAAGAGCACAACTTGTGCTAGGAAATGGTAAGTTTATATCCCGGCATGATGTGCTGTAGTATGGAATATCCCTTTGGCTGCTTGGGTCAAGTGTCTCAGTTGTGCTTCTTTCCAGCTTCTTGTGCCCCTCCTCACTGGCAGAGCATGAGAGACTGAAAGCATGAGTGTGTTACCAACATGATGCTCAGACCATTGGTATAACATTAGGTTAGCAGATAAAGCTGCTTTTCTGTTAATTTTGTCACTAATAATATTGAAGGGGAGAAGGAAAACATGCAGGAACAATGTAAATATTCTGCTGCATCAGGTATTTAAGTCTTAGGATTTTTTAGGGTTTTATTTCCTCGGATCAACTTTCCATGTCAAAGAGCACTTGTGTCATTTTGCTTATATATGTATACACTGACCTTGTTTAAAACATAAATGTGCAACCAGCCTGTATTGTGTCTTATTTTAAGTAACTTGACTCCCTTTTCCAGGCCTTAGATGGTCAAAACATTTATAATGCTTGCTGTACCCTACGGATTGATTTTTCCAAACTGGTGAATTTGAATGTCAAGTACAACAACGATAAAAGCAGGGACTACACTCGCCCTGATCTTCCATCTGGTGATGGACAGCCAGCACTGGACCCAGCCATTGCTGCAGCATTTGCAAAGGAGACCTCTCTTCTAGGTATGATTCTTGCCTTGTTCTTTCGGATTGCAAAGTCACTTGATGAAAATGGTTGTTAATTCTTCTTCTAACAATTAGAGATCTTAGGCTGTAGTAGTGTCCAAAGGCCCATTCAGGGTTCAGTCTCTATTTTGAGCTGAATTGTAGTAACACAGTTACATTGTCTTTAGACATCTTGCAGAAATGAATGAGAGAATGCAAGGGAAAAGGAGAAATCCACAAGGTGGACGGAAAACTCGAGTTGGTTCTGCTTTTGTTCCCAAATGTGTCCTCCCCTCTCTCATACATTCCTGTCAGCTGCTCCTGGCTGCATTGCCCACCTTCCCACCCAAGTTTGTAAGACACTTAACATGATCTGCATGTTTCATTCATGCTAATACTTGTAGTATCATATTATGAAAAGAACATTTTGTTGGTTTCCTTCAATGAGGAAAGATTATGCTCTTTGCTTAAAAAAGAGAAGGAATGTGTAGTTTCATGTCTAGTGCTGTGGTACATGAGTTCTAATGTCCTGTCAGGTTTTGAGTTCATCCAGAGTAGTAGGTGAAACGCTCTGAGAGAGATAAATGTCTTTTGATTCTTAGCAAACTAATGAATGCATGCTTTGGGAGAGAGTTGTAATTTGTGGTTTTAATTTATCAGAAGTTCTTGCCTAAATTTCACTCCTACTTCTGTCAGGTTGCTATTCTTCAAAATGGAATAGTACTCGGGCATCATCCGCTGACTTTTAGAAAACCTGATTTATTCTGTTGTGATCCTTGTTCCTCCCACTTAGTCTTTTCTCATATTTTCCTCTTTCAGTAATTCCCATTTTTCTTCTAAAGAAAACTTCAGAGCAACATAGATTTCATGCCTTGGTTTGGTACAGGATGGGTCAGCTTGGAGTAAGTCTGAGCTAGTGTAGCTTTGTGTGTTCAGAGAAGTTAGAAGGCACTTTGTGAACAACATGAGCCCAGGAAAAGGGTGAATACTGTAGTTAAGGCTACTGAGCGCTGTACTATATCTGCCCTTTTCTAAAATCAGATCACTTGAAGGATACGTTTCCTATCGAGTTGTAAATTCCACATATTCCCACATCCCACAAATTTTGGAATGCTCTACTTCACATCCTCCAGTCTGACTTGCAAAGCGCTGTATCTCTTCTAGCTACAGCAGGAGTTTGGGGAAGTAGAAATACTGTAAGAATCTAAAGTCTCTGAAGAACCCACAGCTAAAGTTTATTTCCTTGTTTTCTCTTTTAACTTCCCATTGTTTAGGTGTTGAAATCTCTCTTTTCATGGATTGATAGGGCAGATGGAGGAGGATTTGTAAGGGTGACACCATAGAGATGAGTGCTGTAGAATTGCCTTGGAGGCAGTTAGTAATTCTTTGGTCAGCACATAATGGGTGGAAATCAGACATGGGGCTACAGTCATATTAGCTTCAATGCACCTCTTTAAAAGCACTGCTTTTCCAAGCAGCAGGAAAATCACAGGTAGACGAGTACCATCTATTGCAGCGAAGGCAGTCATGTTTGTTTTGATGAGTAGTGCAGATACTAAAACATGGTTCTTACATTATTTTCTCCCTCTGTAAAAGCATTCATTGTTTGGAAAGAGACTTAAGGGAGCTGGATCCATTTTCTAACTCTGCTCATGGCCAGTTTGGGTGAGCTTTGAGTTGTCAAAATGGGAATGGTGCTTGTTTGAATATGGAAAGCATGGTTCTCGGTCCAGGCTCCTTACTGTGCAAAAAGGCACGAAATAGAAGTGACATAAATAAGAAAGGGCAAAGGATAGAAGAAACCCTCAAAAGCTTCAATGGACGCTTGCACATGCAATTTATAGCTGCGTTTTTATTCAGAGACTCAAAAGGAGAAGGTTGAGAACACTCAGTTATAATATGGAGGTTGGCAAACTGAGATGTGTGAAATATGGCAGAATGATAGCAGTGACCTTCCTCCTGCTTCCTTCTTTGAATATTTTATTTCCTTTTATTTGCTTTAGAAGTCCGAGTTCTGTAATGTCACTAATGATACCTTCAGAGGGTACTCAGTCAGTGTCTGCTGTGCCCTATTCACAGATGGCTCCCAAAGGGCATGTTTCTCCATGAAAAAGTGGAGCTCCATTTTGAGCTTCGTGTGATGCTCTTCAGGTTCTTTTGCATGCTCAAAAAGAATACCCTAAATTGAACCTGTGGCATTCTTGTTAAAATCCTTGCTGTACCTGTTCTCTTACATGTATATAATGAGATCATTAACAGCAAATGTGGTGAGGACTCAGTTCTGGCTTTTGCTTACGTTATGCTATTATCTGCTGGGTAGCTGTACATTGGATGCTTTTTTGTCGTTGGCTTTTTAACTCTCTCCTGTAATCTGTATGTCAGAAGTGAGGTTTAGGTTTAATACGATTTTGTGAGCTGAGTTTAGTGACAGAATGTGAGTCTCGGTGTTTAAATCTGCATTAATACTAAACCATTCCATACCCCCATTTTCTTCTGGGTGGAATTAACCCTTTCCTTCAGGAAATGTAACTTTATGATGCAGTGTAGGAACACTTGCAGCTCCCAAAACTGTTACACAGGGACTTCAAAAGAACTTACTATCTCTCCCAAACCTATTTAGGCTCAGTATAAGAAGCAGGCCAGTAACAGGTACAAAAAGCTGGTGGTTACTTGACATAAGGCCACAAAAAAGTTTCATACCAGGTCTCTGGATTAAATCTATTTCTGTCACAGTTCTGCACACCTGCAGTAAGATGACTGCTCCCGGTGCCTATGGTTTTCACACATAAGTTCATCATAGACTTTTAGTCTAGCTTTAATTTGCCTCTTACTAAAATATTGTTACTAAGGTGCATTTCAGAAGTCAGGCAAAAAGATACCCTGAATGGGAATAAATAATGTGACATGCTGTGTTCAAGCTTCATTGAAGAAAAAGACCTCAGAAAGCTAGGAAAGACTTCACTAATCATCTTCAGATTCATTTATTCCTATAAATGCTGGACAGGCTGAAAGCTGCTGAAGTTAGGGAAAGGTAGAAGATTTGAAATGCTCTGGTATCTTGTCATTTTCTAATACTTAAATGATTGCTGTCGACCTGGTGTAAAATAAGTTGTTTCCCTTCAGGTGGACATCTGTCACTCCTTACTGCCATTCTTCACATTTCTGTCTGCATGACCTCAGCGGGAGCTGAGTGTAACTGAACGTGACAGTCAGCCTGTGCAATACAAAGCACTCAAAAGGACACTTCCAGAACGATTTTTTAGAGCAGAACTGGATTGTTATAGAATTGTTTGAGGGCTTTAATTTGACATTCACACGTTTCCCTGTGCATTACACTCTGATTTGGGGAATAAACTTCTTCTTCCAGTTCAGTGTTCAAGGCCAGGTTGGACGGGGCATTGAGCAACCTGGTCTAGTACAGGGGTACTTTATTTAACTGCATCCTTTAGTAATTGTTTTTTCTTAAAAGTAAAGCTGTATTCTTCAGCTTTAACCCAAGAGCAAAACATGCATCATATTTATGGTATGTTTTTATGTTGCTATTAATACACATAGGTGTATAGTATTACACTTTCACACCAAATGCATTTTGAGAAACAAAATTGCCTAACAGTACCCATCTAATTTCATATCCTTTCTCTTGGCTGTTAGTATTACTTCTGCCTTCTCTGCTGGAGGTGCTTTCCTCCCCAGAGGGTGCTCAGGCATTGGAACAGGCTGCCCAGGGCAGGGCGGGAGGCACCGTCCCTGCAAGTTTCCCCGCCCCGGGTAGCCGAGGCCTCAGTGCCAGGGGTTAGTGGTGGCCTTGGCACTGCTGGGAACAGTTGGACTGGATGAGCTTGAAGGTCTATTCCAACCTGCTGGATTTTGTGTTGCTTTATTGCCCATTTAATCTAACTGGCTGTTGTTTACAGAGACCGTCTAATACAGTCTCAAATCTGTTGAGTTTTTGCAGGATGGAAGGGAGCAAGAGAAGATATGGGGCTTTTGTTCCTTTTAAGTACTCCAGTCAGTCCCACAAATACCACATCTGATGCAGTAAAAGATGGTATTTGTTGCCTTTGATTCGGGTAGATTTTCCCTTTATCTTGTGGCATGAGAGATGAGTGGAATTGTCATTACTGATAACTTTCTATTCCTCTGGTTCGACCCCTGAATCCTAACAATTTTTGATCTTCTAAACTTTATCAGAAAGCATTCTGTATCTTTAATTTCCCTTCTTAGAACACTTACTGGTGGTTCTTTTCCTATGTGCCTCAAGAGGAAATAACCACAAAATAACTTTCCAGTGCTTGGTCAGAAAGTAATACAGTTCTGCACTATCAGAAAGTAGTGATGGATGTCCTGTTCCCTTTGAGGGGGCATTTGTCCAGCCCTTTTCACAAACAAATTGGAATGAAGATGGAAATCTTGCCTAAATTGTAACCTGGCTTACTGCTCCCCTTCTGCCCCCGTGGATCTTCTGAGAATCTGATTGCAGTTAAAGGCAATCAAATACTCAACTTAGATTTCTTTTTTTTTCCCTATTTTGCTAAGTCAGTGTCTTTTTTACTGAACTCTGTAAAATGTGGATCAAATACTATAAAAGCTGTTCCTGTATAACCTATAGATAAGGCATATATATGACAAGAACCTTCCACTCATTGATCCTGGGAGTACCACAGTCACCGAGTACCCCAGTGACTTGACCAGGCAAAACCAACAGCTCCCTACACAATCCATGTTTCCTTGGAAGAAGGAAACTAAAAGCAAAGCTGAAGGTTTAGCCTAAGGGTAACGTACTTCTTCAGGGAATTGGATTACAGAAGCCACAAAGCATAATCAGTGGTGCTGGCTAGAATCTTGAATTGAGAACATTGCCTCCTCACCTCAGTTATGCAGAGGATCTGAGAGATAGGGCTTTTCACATGACCAGCTCCAGTGTGGCAGATGGAGTTTGAAGCGTCAAGTTGAAGTGAGGCATCCCTGCCCATGGCAGGGAGTTGAAACTGGGTGATCCTAAGGTTCTTTCCAACCCAGACCAGTCTAGGATTCTATGAGGAAGACCTTTGAAAGGGTGATGGAAAATAAGGATGTAATGATGCAGAGAGCACAATTAGTGCTTATTCTTACTGATTTGTTCAGTATTTGCTTTGGACCATTGTGATAACTAGAAACTTGAAGCATTTTAGAGTACAGGCTGGATACATTTTAGAGTATGGAGACAGGCTGAGAACATTGGGGCTGTTCAGCCTGGAGAAGAGAAGCTGCTGGAGACCTCAGAGCAGCTTCCAGTGTCTGAAGGGGGCTACAAGGATGCTGCAGAGGGACCTTCATCAGGGGCTGGAGTAATAGGACAAGGGGTGATGGGTTCAAACTGGAACAGGGGAAGTTCAGGTTAGATCTAAGGCAGAAGCTCTTCCCTGTGAGGGTGCTGAGGCGCTGGCACAGGGTGCCCAGAGAAGCTGTGGCTGCCCCATCCCTGGCAGTGTTCAAGGCCAGGTTGGACACAGGGGCT